GCTAAATTCCCAAGATTGAAAAAATATGAAGAATTTTTCTCACCGTCCTCAATCCACCGAGCCCTGGAGCGAATGAAAGCCCCTCTTGCTTTATCTAGAAAAAGATCATCTAATTGGGATTTGACCACGTCAAGCTCACTCAGCTCTTCAGAAGATAAAACAGATTTGGAACAAAGAGAATTAATATTGCCAATAAGTTGGGATTGTTTCTGTCTCATCAGCTTAGAAACAAGTTTACCAGTCTTTATTGCTGCCAACCTAACGTTAAATTTAAACCACTCCCACTTATTTAAGGGAGACATATTCATTACTGAAATATCCTTAATGAGGTTCAGGATTTCTGAACAAAAAGTTTTATTGTTCAGTAGATTACTATTAAACTTCCAAGCTAAGATTGAGGGTGGTTTAGATTTATTTACAGAGAGAAATAAGGTAACCGAACAATGATCTGTTAAAGGAGCCGCTGATATTTCACAGTTTGAAATATTGTTAACCATATTATGAGGGATTAACCAATAATGTAGCCTAGAACATTGACCATTTCCAGAAGGGTTGAAACAGGAATATTGTCTAGTAGTGGGATTTCTAATTCTCCAGCAGTCTGTCAAATTTGTATTAGAAATTAAGTTTACAAAAATATCATTGAAGATATGATGCTGCCCCCCTGAGGGAAGACGATCAATCGATCCATCTGGAGCCACATTGAAGTCGCCTGCTAATATAACCTGATCAGTGGAATATTTTAACTTCCAATGTTTTATCATCACTCCGAGTTCATCAAAAAAAATTTACAATTCATCGCCTTATTATTGTATCCATATAGACACACCAAAATGATCTTATTTCCATTAATTTCCACTATTGTAGTTACCCAGTGGCCATTTGTATCACTGACATGGTCCAAAACAGACCCAGAGAATTTATGAAACAGAATCATAACCCCGGCTGAATGTGAAATAAATTTTGTCACCCCATTGAAGTTTCCAAAATTTCGCCTCTTCACTTGATGAATGAGTTTCCTGCAGAAAAAAACAATTTGCCTTTTGCTCCTTACAGTAAAGAAAAATAGCCTTACGTTTAACACTGTTTTTTAAACCCCTAGTATTAAGAGAAAGTAGTGACAACATGAAAGAAACACAGTAATTGTACAAGAACTAAACTAAGGAACGATTAGCAGGAATGAGATAACAAAGCCAGTAACAGCTGTATGAAAATAGTGCGATAGCCCTTAAAACAAATACAGAATGAACCTACCAAAACCAGAGGAAGTAAAAGAAAAAGGCGGTGCAATTAGTCAGGGTCCACTCTTCGGTTATCGATCAGGGCGAAGCCTTCCTTCAGTTATGCGCGTTTGCCTCTGCTCCTGGCTTCCTGAACCAGGGGCCACAGCTTTGCCCGGGCTAGTCTGTCCTCCTTAGAGAAGTCCTCCTTGAAGCTGATGTGCTTTTCTTTGCAGACTTTAGCATCTTTGNAGTAGTTGTCATTGAGATGAATTACCATCTGTGAATGGCAGATTAATCTGCCATTCAGATTCATGTTTGTGTATCTGACAAACACAAACTAACACAATTATGTGTTGAAATATTCAAATAAATATTCAACACATACTGTGTGTCATATTATTCATTTTAACACACAATGTGTAAAATTAACACAAAATATGCTTTTAATTTAATAACACATTTTTTGTGTTCTTTTTTAACACATCTTTGTTTAGAGTGTGCAAATATATGTCAGTTATGACATCACTCTCGCTGTGATGTCATAATATAATTCTCTTTTGTTATGACATCATAAAACAGTCTTAAGACTGTTGAACTTTCCCAAGATCTTTCATTCAAGCACTGAAGAAAGACTGGCAACTTGTTCTAAAACTTGCACAACTTGTTCTAAAACTTGTACGATGGAGGATCTAGAGTTTATTGAGGAACTTGAGGAATTTTATCTCAGGATGCAAAGAAAGAGGTTACAATTTTTGAGTACAGAGGAATTACTAGATGAGATTGCAGAACTCATGCAGAAACTTAAAAGACTTTACGATTTGGATGACGATGAGGAAAATGAGATAGTGGAGACTTTAATCCACCATCTGCAACGAGAACAGCAGAATCAGGAGCAGAGTCCACCAAGGAGTGTGTGGACTTTTATGACTGATTGGGGAGAGTCATTCATGAGCGGCTTCAGTTTTGGCTTGGGATTTGGCGCAGCTGCTGGCATTGTATTGACTGTGTGTTGTAAACTCCTGTCCTAAACACTGTTCTGGATCTGGGTGGTGCTTGAGGGAGGGGTTCCCGTCGATCTGATCTTCAGTTGCAGAACCTGGCTCTTGGGACGTGGAATGTCTCCTTTCTGGGAGAGATTGGGAGAGGGATTCCTGCCTCAAGTGGAGGAGTTTCAGTATCTGGGGATCTTGTTCACAAATGAGGGAAGAAGGTTGCGGGAGATCGACAGACAGATTGGAGCAGCATCTGCTGTGAAGCAGATGCTGTACCGGTCTGGAGTGGTAAAGAGAGAGCAGCGAAGCTCTCGATTTACCAGTCGATCTACGTTCCCACCTTCATCTATGGTCATGAGCTGTGGGTCATGACCGAAAGAACGAGGTCCTGGATACAAGCGGCCGAAATGGGTTTCCTCTGCAGGGTGTTTGGGGTCTCCCTTAGAAATAAGGTGAGAAGCTCCGTCATCTGGGAGGGACTCAGAATAGAGCCGCTGCTTCTTCAAGTCGAGAGGATCCAGTTGAGGTGGCTCGGGCATCTGATAAGGATGCCTCCCAGGGCGCCTCACTGGTGAGGTGTTCCGAGCACGTCCCACCGGGATGAGGCCCCAAGGAAGACCCAGGACACGCTGGAGGGACTATGTCTCTCGGCTGGCCTGGGAACACCTTGGGGTTCCCCCGGAGGAGCTGGAAGAAGTGGCTGGGGAGAGGGAAGTCTGGGTCTCCCTTCTGAAGCTGTTATCCCATGACCCAGAAACAGCAGAGGAAAGTGGATTTATGGACAAAGGTTTTTGTTATCATGCAGTTTCTAAGTGCATTAAGAGGATGAGGAGGTTCTCCAAGCAATTCTACGGATGATTTTTCACTTTTACTTGTTTTGCATGACCTGTGGAGGGTCAAAAGTCAAGTTTTATTCACCAATTAGTTGTTTACTCTGTTTAATTCCCTGAAATTGATTCACTTACCTGGGGATTATATTGTTTCTTTGGTGGAAACTGAAATGCTGGGTACGCCTCGCTGTCTTCCTGCAAAAAAGGAGGAGAAAGGTTACTTATCTGACAAAATGAATACAAACATGATAAAAAAAAGGACTAAATAGATTCCTCAAAGTGAGGTCCTTACCTGGGGCCTTGGGACTTTCTGTTTGCAAGACACGTCGTCTACTGGGTCTTTTGGACCTTCTTTCCTGCAATGAAGAGAAAAAAAGACATTACTCACCTGGAATGTATTGGTTCTTTTTGTAATGGACAACCAGGTTGTTTACCTGTGATTTGGGGTTTTGTTTGGTTACCTGCAGCATCCCCTGAATTAGGTGGTTCATTTGCAGGTACTGGTTATAAAAAGTTTTATATACTTTGATTGTAATGTGGGCTGCACAGTGGCGCAGTTGGTAGAGCTGTTGCCTTGCAGCAAAAAGATTCTGGGTTCAATTCCTGGCCCTGGTCTTTCTGCATGGAGTTTGCATGTTCTCCCTGTGCATGCGTGGGTTCTCTCTGGGTACTCCGGCTTCCTCCCACAGTCCAAAAACATGACTGTCAGGTTAATTGGTCTCTCTAAATTGTCCCTACGTGTGTGTGTGTGTGCGTGCGTGTGGGGGTGTGTGTGTGTGTGTGTATGGTTGTTTGTCTTGTCTGTCCCCTTGTTGCCCTGCAACAGACTGGTGACCTGTCCAAGGTGACCATGCCTCTCACCAGCAAGGACAAGGGTGTACAGATAATTATTGAGTTTGCATGTATGGTTGGATTCTCTCCAGGTACTCTGGCTTCCTCCCATAGTCCAAAAGCATGACTGACAGTTAATTGGTGTATCCAATAAGAAAATGGATCAATCAACAATTTCACACTGGTTCTGGGTAACCTGGAAGCTATTGAATCTATACTGACTAGTAGAATTATTTCAAAGTGATCTTGGGAGAAAAACACTCAATTTTGACAAAAAAATATTCCTAAAAAAAGGAAAATTATTTAAAATGAAAAACAAATGACTGTGCCTCATCTCCACTGATTTGTAGAATTATTTCAAAATCAGATCAGATGACTTCGAAGCTATTGAAGAAAACATATTACAGTATTTAATATTAAAATCATATAAAATATTCTATGTGACTTTAAAATTTAATAGAGGATATTGTGTCTCATGTAGAAGCATGAATTAGCACTGACAATTTGCTAGTTGGTCACAATTCAACGCATTTATTAACATTTGTTTGACAGAAGTGTTTGTTTCGGTAATTTGTTGACAGTCCCTAAGTGAACCTTCGTTCGCTCGGGATGCTCAAATCAACATCTCCACCAGCATCTGTCATGGCGCTACTGAGCTGAAACAACTTCCCAGTTACAGTGAGTATATTTATAAAATGTCCTGTTTATTTAAAATTCATAAAAGTCAGGAAAAAATAAAACATCCTAATCTGAATTTCAACTGATTTTAAAAGCAAATGTGTCTTTAGTAAAATTATTTATATAACACAAAAACAGCCTCTGGAGCCAATTTCCTCCAAAATGAAAATGTACTACTATGAAGGGACGATGATGTGTTTGGAATCACTGTTAGAGAAAAAAAAAAAAAAAAAAAAAAAAAAAAAAAAAATATATATATATATATATATATATATATATATATATATATATATATGAATGAATCCAAGGAATATTTCTGTAAACACAGAAAAATAGATTGTAAATCAAACCAATACATCATGCAAAACACAAAAATGAATTTCTGAACGTCCGATTAAGAATATAAACCAAATATTTACATGTAAACTAATCTGCCTTTTTCTCCATGTATCCGAAGTTTTCACACAATCTTTGATCTCTCAAACCGAGTGGACGGTGAACCTTGAAAAAGGAAAAAATTATTTATTCTGTTTATTTAAAAAAGTGTCACTAATAATAACTGTGACAACATATAGGTGACAATCAGGGCGGTGCAGAGACCACTAAAGGGGCAGGTGCTCAAAAAAAATAAAGGCACATCTAATCGCATTC